ATATATATTAAGATTTCCTAGTCCTACGGTCTAGATCACTTCTTCATTGTCTTCTTGTATTGATGAGTTGTATATCCTAAAGATGCCTTCTCTTTTTACGGAAAGGTCCTTCATGATGACTTGGCAAAGACTTGTTTTGACCTACTATTTCCATGTATTGACTATGAAGGTGATGTGGTCGAGACTCACTCTCTTTTGTGCAATATGCATGTGTCTTTTGTTGCATGCATGTCATGAATGCTATAAGTTTTTTATTATATTCCTGTTATCTTTATTTTGGTTTATCACTTAAAGATTATGTATTATTATTGTATATTTGCTCTGATCCTTCATGTATTATTTTTAGGAACTTGATTCAATGTCCTAACACTGTAGGTTTTAGGATATTTAGTTCCCTTGTTTTCGAACATACATTTTGCTTTGTTGTTTTGAATTTGTTTTGTAGGTCATCTTCAAATACTAGGTTCCAAACTGAATGCCAAAAGGAAATATTGTAAAATATTTAGTTTGACAAGCGTTCGACAAACTAAGTATCCTTGATAATTTTCTTGCCAGGCAAGCAAAATAAATTAAATGAAAATATTTTTGTTCTCTCTTTTATTTATTTAATTTATATATATTACTATTAATTATTATATATTAATTTATTTATTTTAGTTCTTTATACTTGCAGATAGAAGTTGAATGAATTAATTAATAAGGGGGAACTGATCGTGCATGAGGATCTCGCACTTAACTTGGAGAAGACTGAGATCAAGATATAAAGATATTCATGAAGATCTTGGACAAGATTTGAAGAATAAATAAAATTGGGAAACATTGTTAAATGTTGAACAAAGATTATGATGGTCTTTAATCAAAGAAGCCGAATTATACTTGAATGAAACCAACTCCACATAGAAGGACGTTAAAGACATGGAAATGTTAATGCTTCTTACAGTCTTGCACTTTGTATGTATGCTATCACAAAGACTCCGAGGTGAGTGGCTGCAATTACGATTAGCATTGAGTTTTAATGCTATGTCCTTATGTAACACCCCACTTTGATTTTTTAAGAAATTCTGGACTTTCCAAAATCAATAAATAATTTTTCGAACTCGTTTTCGAAAACATGGGCGTTATTCACACATTTAATATCAACCAAGTCATATCTGGTTGTTCACATGATTTTCATTAACCCTTAAAACTTCAATTTCACATGATTATTAGCTAAACATCATAGCATGCATAATCGAACACATGATATTCAAGAAATAATTCCAATATTCGCAATCCAAACGAAACATTGGTCCAATAATAATAAAAAAAAAAGATAAGTTTTGAAAATGATTCACCACGTCTCAAC